ACCAGTGTTGGGGAAAGTTACTTTTAAAAGTAATGCATTACAATATTGCGTTACTCCATAAAAAAGTAACTAATTACGTTACTTAGTTACTTTTTTTGGAAAGTAATGCGTTACGTTACTTTTGCGTTACTTTTTAAATCTGGACAGGGCTTGCTTGTTTGTTTTTAAAATAAAAAAGTTATATTTTTGGCAAATATAAAAGCATACATTTACGTTCGTAGAATGCAGAAGAAGAAATTCAACACACTTCAGCAATAAAAGACACAAATGTTTTTCTAGAGTAATTTTTGCTTATTAGTATGGTTGAACTGGATCATCGGAGGTCAAAAGCAAAGACATTGGTTAATAGAATGGGTGTTGTTTAACATTTAATTATTGCAGGTTTGCGTCATATTCTGAGTTGCATTATTTTTATTCATTTTGAGGAATACTGAATCTGTGTTTTTTTTTTTAGCGAGTGAGATGAATTAATGCATATTCATATTTATTTTAGATCTCCAGTAACATCTTCTGATTTCTCTCAACATGGGGACAGGAGAGCTGTCAATCAATAAATTGGAGGAAAAAAAAGTAACTTGCGTTACTTATTTGAAAAAGTAACTCAGATATTCTCTTGTAAATTAAAAAGTAATGCGTTACTTTACAAGTTACTTGAAGAAAGTAATCTGATTACGTAACTCGCGTTACTTGTAATGCGTTACCCCCAATACTGTTAACCACTAATTCACGAAAACGTAAAATAAAGTTACTGCCATGAGATGTGTTGGGCTTGCAATTTACTTTATAAAACAGCCCAGATTTATAAGGCAAGTCACTCCCTTAAAACAAATTATAGGCTATGTGTTGACGTATTTAGATTTAGCTTGGATGTGCTAATAAAGCTTAACTTATAAACATAAATATGATCAATTAGTTTAAGCTGTTACTCACGTTTAGAATCAAAAGACAGATGATCCGTATCAAAAAATCCATTTAGCATAGAAATGAATGTTTCTAGAAAATACGGAACCATTTCTCTACCCAGAATATTCAAAACCTCGTCCAGCCAACTCAAACCTGATGCTGCTAATGTTATATTAGACACCAGAAATAAAACCGTAAAGAAATGCAACACGTTCATCATGAAAGCTATCCTTAATTCGCGGAAGTAGAACTCAGAGGAACCTAATAGTCTGTACACGCCCTCCGAAATATGCAGCAAGATGATTGGCCTAGAAATTCAATGAATTTGCTTTCATTTTCTTCTGATTCTTACAAGAGTGGAAAATTTGTACAGTGTCCCAACATTTTTGGAATCGGGTTTGTATATTTTTATGTCACAAAATAACTTTGCGTGGCATTCATTTGTGAATCTTGTCCTGTACATTTGTAGAACGCTGTGCCTTTGTGGATCGGTGCGTGCATTTGTGGATTTTGAAACATTTCTTGTGTCAAGATGCTGACAATCCACAAATGCGTGACTCCACCCACCATGTGCTCAAGCCTATCAGATAACAGCCACACTTCGCTGACCAATCGTAGCACGTTCTCGCTATAGCCGATCACGTTTTGCTTTACAATCACGACGAGAGCAGGGCTGCGTTCAGCCCCGACAAAAACGGTGCAAAACGTTTTTTAAATGGAAACGGTGGTGCGTTGAACACCCTGTTCTGATGACGCAAGAGTTGCAACTATGACAGCCGAGAAGGACATTCTTTGTGTTCTTTTTGAAGAATTTGAAGAAACGGTGCGCACAAGGTTTTGCTACGGTTTCTGATTTGAACGACATGTTTCCTGATTCAACGCACCACCGTTTCCATTTAAAAAACGTTTTGCACCGTTTTATCGGGGCTGAACGCAGCCCAGATTCATTTTGCACCCTTGTAAGGAACTGCATTCTGTGGACACTTCGTTCAAAAGGAGCCGAAGTGCTGTTTGTGTGGTTTCCAAAAGATTGTAGGAGTATAAGGCTTCTTTGCATTTCAAGTCAAGTCAAGTCTGCTTTATTGTCAATTCTTCCACATGTACAGCACATACATACAGAGAATTGAAACTGTGTTACTCTCAGACCCTTGGTGCATACAGATAACACTAACAGTAGAACATAAATACAGATAGATACAGATTAAATATAAAACACAACTATACAAATATACAAATAAGGTCATGTAAAAAAATAATAATAAAGCAGCACAAGGCACATGGCCGATAGAGTGCAAACCAGTGAAGTAAACAAACAGTGCAGATATAATGATTGTAGTGCAAAGAGGTTATTCAGACTGATTAAAGTGACAAAAATCTCAGAGAGTTCTTTATTTAAACTTTCAGAAGGGGTAATTGAATTAGGTCAGTTCAATGCTGAATGACGTAGTGAGCAGATCAATGCTGCACAAAGTGACAAAGTGACTGGTGCAGGTCCCAGTGTGTTAGTGGGAGGGGGGAGGGATCACATCAGGATCACAATTTATGATCATTGATATATCCCGAGCATCATCAGTAATACCCTCGCCACGCGACCAAAGCAAATAGAAATCATTATAATCAGCAATACTGTGTACACTGGACGAGGCACGACACTATGAAGGACAAATGATTCGTATATTTGCTTTGATGCGTCCAGTTGCAGTTGCAGCACAGCACTGCGAGCAGAGTAGACATGGCACAATGGCTTATTCGGCCTTTTAAAGCACAATCGCGGTGACAAATATAGAGCATAATAACACGTATAATAGCAGTTGGCCCAAATGTCCATCTGGGTACCTGATCAGCATCACTCCAGTGTGTAGCCTACTGGGGAGATGTGAGTGAACGATGTCAATAAAAACAATGCGTTTACTTCGGATGCTGTTAAGCAAATTTTACAATCAAAACTAGTAAGTCTGATTCATATGAAATACTGTTTGCATGATCTGATCAAGTGTTTTAACCAATAAATAAATGCATTCATATTCAACACACCTGCACCACATTTAAAAAAGGACCCACGTATATTTTTTCCTCCCCAAACAATGGCAACTTTGTAATACTTTTAATTCATGTTTGAAAATATAATTTATAATGCTTTATACATAGTTACATAGCTAGCTGCTCATATACATCATTTAAACGGCTTGACTGAAAAACTGCAAACGCTTTTGTTTTGACTGTTGTGTGTCAGCAATTTAACCTATTACACAAACTCGCATGTTTATCATGAGGTTGAATCCAGTTATTTGGTTGACATGTAAAATATAATACTGTGGCTTGGCTTGATAGACAGTCTGATGGTCTAACGAAATCCAATTTTAAACATCTTTTACTGTACCGAATTTTAATGGCCCTTATGTTTCCTATTTGAGCCAATGCGGGTAGCCAATGCGGATGAATTAAGTTACTTCGAGGAGACCGCCCTGATTGTAAAGCAAAACGTGATTGGCTATAGCAAGAACGTGCTACGATTGGTGGGTGAAGTCCATACATTTGTGGATTGTTGTGTATCTTGACCAAGCGGCAACCTCCCGCGCTCTCTCGTGAAGCCAACATGGAAGTGACTTAAACTGTAATTCATCAACTGGCCGCTAGAGGCTGGCTGTCAATCCTGTAGACTCCCCATGTTAAAATGCCCAAATTTACAGCAGAAAAAAACGTTTACAGCCTGGTTCAAAAAATTATTTTGGTCTATATAGCTAATTTTGCCCTTCATGACAAATGTGAGGTGGGCGAATTTTTTTTATAACTCATCCGTTTAAATTATATTAAGCCTTAAAATTCTGCATAATTAAGGGCGTGGCCACTTGAGTGACAGGCTCCGCCCACTTTGAGCTTCAAAAACGCTCTTCAGAAAACTACTAGTGACGTCACGGACACTACGTCCATGTTTTTATCCAGTCTATGGTCTTGACGCTAGAAATGTATCAAAATCCACAAATGCCTGCAGCGATCTACAAATGCACAGGACGCGATTCACAAATAAATGCCAGGCAAAGTTGTGTTTGTAGAATAAAATATATATTTGTGAATATTTTTTTTATTGGTGAATTTAATTCATGTTTGTGAAACGCTAAGATTTATTCGTGGATGTCATTCTATTTATTATGTGAATGTGTTTGGTTTTTGTTAATCGCTTTACATTTATTTGTGGATCATAATCTATTTATTTGCAACAATTCTACCCCCATACTTCTGAACTACTACCGCCGAGGGTAAAAGCAATGATATGAAAGCAATTATAGAGTGTGGAACTTGATTCCTACAAAAAGTCGCATAATTTTATATTAATGTGTATTACATAGACATAAAATATTCAATTAAGAACCTAAGTGGTGCGTAAAAAAAATAGAATGAGAAATTGCGGTAAAATGAATTCTGTGCACGAGGCTCTCTTTGGCGCCTCTAGCGGCTGAACGCAGACAGTGCAGCTGGATCTCTTGATTAAAGGTGGTTTGAATGAATGGAAAACGCTTTCCACGGCTGAGACAGAGCAGAGGGAGCAGCTCAGACAAAGCAGCGAGAAACTTTCACGCTGCTAATCGCCAGTCCTGTCCCACCAAGCAAGGATTTACAGAAGACAGCGGCGGTGCAGTAGATTCAACACCTTTCTGAGGGGATGAAAGCGACATTGGAGTGAATTGAAAGTCCTGCTGCTGCTGAAAGGACGAGCTTATTTGGCTCCGCGGGTCGATGATGAAGCTTTACAATGCAACAGGTTAGAGTGAGTTTCGATATAGATCGATAGAAACACCACAGAATCGAATGCGATCGCTGGATCAAATGGGTGCATTGGTCTTGTTGTAGTTCTTTTGTTAATCGCTGAGATGCAAACAGCGTGCACGCTTACCGAGCCAGTGAAGTTACAATGCAACAGAATACTGTGAAGATCAAAGGAGATGCAGCCAGATCCGGCCTGTTTGAAATGTGCAACCTGGCTCTGCATTTAATTAATATGTGCGTGCATTGCAAATCAAATGTGGATCAGTGACATAAGGAAAAAACGACTTTTTAAAATCTAGTTTAAAACGTGACAAGGTCATAGAAATGTAATTTATGTTGGATTCTTACATTTTTGCACCGTTTATACCATTTTTAACAAAAGCTGGACTCCAAAAAGTCAAGTGGTGTGACATTCTCATAAAAAGTACTAAAACACTTTCATTGCATATTTAAAATGTGTGCTTGACAACTTAATCATCGTTTTATAGAAGTTAAAATGTTTCTCAAGTAATATTTTAAAACACAATTGCTTAATTGTTTCATTTTTAAAATGAAATTATTATGAAAGATTTTGGCAAACAACATTTGTCAAGTTTTTTTTATTTGTTTATTTAATTTTTTTTATTCCTTACAATTTCTGGGCAGTTTACCCATGTTAACATTTTTAACTTTAAGCCGGACAAAAAATATCAGCATTATGTTTAATTCACAAATTAAATGCATGTTTTTCATATTTTAAATGTCTTTCTGAATTACTTAATAGACCCGGAGAGAACAAACTTAGCATCACATACAGTATATAGGCCTACACACACACACACACACACACATGCACACAAATAGGTTCTTCAGCGGTTCTTTGGTGCGGTTGAGGTTCTATATAGCACCACTGCCATACAAAGAACCCGTTAGGCCCCTGTATAGTTCATTAAAGTTTCTCAAACTCTCTCTTTAGTTGGGTAAAGGATTAAAAACTAAATACAATGTATTTCCTGATGATAACGTGGTTCTTCTCAACTTTTTCGCCCCCAAGGCCCCCCCATAAGGAAATATTCCAGGGCCCCCACACAATAATTTTTGACCTCAGAGAAGCATAAAAGTGATTCAAAACAAACCGCTTTTGCCATTGTAGTAAATTCCCATTCATAGTAAACAAGTAAGAGATCTAAAATCTATGAATGGGGTTCCTTCTTATGGTTCTTCCTAGAAGTCCATTTGACAAAGGTGCTGTATAACATCTTTTAAAAATAGGTGCTATATAGCACTTAAAGTGGTTCCCCTATGATTATGAGCCAATGAACCACTTTTAATGCTATTTAGCACCATTTTTAGAGTGTATTTATAATTTTAGCAGTCATTGTGTTTTGTAGATTTTCAAACGAACCAAGTTTGTATAAAGAGATAATACTCTTGATATAACACTGGCAATATGATGCTTACCCAAATCTGTGGGA